TGATATTTAAACTATATATATCTCAAACCTATTTTTATTTGGATCATGGTTATAGCAAGCTACGTGATAAAGGAAGCGAATTTCCTATATATATCAATCTAATATCAGACCAATATCAGACCAATTCCAAATAAATTGCGAATAAATTTTTTACAAGTTTTTTATTGGTATTATACAAATTTATTATTAACAAATTATGAGTAAAAAACTATTAACCCGTACTCGTAAATTTCTTAGATCAGATGCCACCTGCTTATCACCTGAAGCCATTGAAGAAATCAGAAATGCTCAGAATAATATTCCAGATGCTCAGCATATTATGTGTAAAAAACATCATATAGAGGCAACGATATATCAAAAAATTATTGATAATCAGAGGCCTCCTAAACCGACTGAGGAATGGTGTAGAATCATAGAATCTGTTAGTGTCTCTGATTAGATTTCAGAAAATATAGAGCACCCTCGAGATGGCGCAAATTCTCATATAAGACTGAATACAGTAACTAGCGAACGAAAAGATAAGGTTAGTCGAAAAAAAAAAATTAGTATGGAGGCAGAAGGTGAATCTTCTCTAGTGGAAAAAAATAGAATAGTCAATTCTTTTAAAAATGATATATCTAGACGGGAATCTGATCTTAATAAATTATTAAATATTACTGGAAACATTGTTACGCATCCAATCTTTTCTCCATAAGCTTAGAGCACCTTTCCACTAAAATTTTACTTGCATTTAATGCCAAGTCAAACCATTTCTCAGTTTTCAAGAGGCGCTTTTCAAGATTTTCACATTTTTTTTAAAGTCCTCACTAGTTGGGTTAGAAGAATTAGCAGAAACCTGAGATGATGATTCCTGCTCTTCTTTTGGCGGATTTTTAGCTACTGGGGCCTTGCTATAAGTTGGAATAACATAGGTCTTTCCATATAACTTTATGCAAAACTGGTTTTTATTTGGCTCAGAAACACCTTGGAGCTTTCGAATATTAGACATATCTAAAAATAGCATTGGTTTAGGTTCGCCATTATCTATACGTACAAAATTTCCAATGACCGTGACTGTCTTTCCCTCTTTGTCCTTCATAGAAACTGGCACATCTGTGTACCATCTTAATGAATCAGTAATATGTTTGGAATTGCCCTTTATAGCAAAATCAGATAGCTCATCAATCTTCCATCCAAGTGCGTGAATTGCTGGATCATTTAACCCACCAAATTCACTTCCGGTATCCAAGAAAGAATCAGGAATTGTTAGATCATTTATATTACAATGCAAATACTGTAAAGATGAAAACCACTCATCTGATTTTTTTGACTCTTTTTCCAGAGCCTTTCAGGACAAGCACATTTTTCGTATCGGTAGTGAAAGCTTAGACAATAGCTGATTATACGTTTCAGGCTTGTTATTTTCTATTAGTACCTGTTTTTTTTTACCAGTAGATCATACCCGGTCCACCTATTATTTTCTTCATCATAACCTTCTTCCTCATTATCCAAATCTGGGGGTGTGTTTTGGAAATTTATAGATGTAAGAGGCTTAAAATAATAAGCAGACCGATTGAAATTAGATCGTGCTATCTGTCTATTAGGGCAACTATCTTTACTATAGTCTGTCTCTCCGCAAATAACACATTTACGTATATATACTTTTTGTAATTGATTAGTTAATTGATTTACCATATCACTATCTTTATTGATTGCATTTTCTATTCTATTAATCCTAGCAGAAATTTCATTTAATTAAGGGCGAGGTCTTTGAAAGGGTTTTACAGAATAAGCCGAGTCTAAATCATTCTTATTTAATAAACCTAATTCTTTTAAGTATTCGGCTACATAATAAATTTTGAGATCTTCTTCTGATTGCAATGATGAAGGGGGACCTCTTGGTTGTCTAACTGGTTCTACTATCTGTGGAGCAGGTGCTTGAGCTTTTTGAGCGACAGCTTGCTAGGCTATTTGTGATTAGTAATCAGCTTTTTGCTTTTCTAATAAAGACTGGTATTTAGTTTTTTGCTGTGCTAGTGCGTTTTGGATTGCTTTTTGCATATCTTCTAAAGAAATTCCTTGCTGTTGAGGAGCTG